TCAGGCTGTTATGGGCATATCTGCATACTGTGCGTATGTCTCGATATTGCTTTAATTCACAAGATTTTTGCAAGCAGTGATGGATAATGGCTAGCAGTGGAATCCAGGACGCGCGTTTCATCCCATTTGGGGCGCGTCAACTTATAACGCGATTGCGTTTAAAGCGAATGGTACTGGGTTCGAGTCCCAGAGTGAACATCAACTCTGAGATGCAGGCACATCTAGCTGACGAGTCCTAAATAAGACGAAACGCTCATCCTGGATTCCACTACTAACCACTATCGATCATTGCTTACAAAAAAATGAACTATGATAATTTTAATTGTACTGAAAAATATAATTAAACAAATGTTAACCGCAAAATCTGATTAGCTGACCTTCCGTGTTACAATTTATAAATGTAAATCTGTACAATATTTCTTGCAAATATATCTTTAAAAAATAAAAAATATGGGAGAGTATGTTTATTATGACCTCAAAACATTTATCAGCTGTTGTATAACGAGTAATCTAATCTACTTACTGAATTTATATTGTATGGTAGAAATATGACCTTTTTTCTGTTAAAATATATGTTTACAAGCCTTTTCTAGATAAGTTATTCCTATTTAATTCATTCCAAACCTTTCTGTCTTTTTTATACCTGAGGAAAATGAATGTAACATTTCTTATACTGTCAAGTGTTGTAATGGGGTCAACGGAAGATTGTTATAAGGTTTTTGTTTCAAAAGTTTATATTTCTAAATAACATATCGGTTAAAGTGAAATATCACATGATTGATCTGTTAAATTACTTAGCAACAAGAAAGGATACAATAATATATGGACAATAATCTAAAGATATGAACCTACAAAATATTCATATAACTTAGATATAAATGGAGTTTTTTCATAGAAATAGCTCTACTACCTACTTAAAAGTCGTGTACACAGTAAATTAACGGTTTCGATGAAATAACATCTCGTTATATCGTTTCGCAGACATGTACAATCGGTAAAAATGTATGGATATTTGAATATATTTTCTTTTTGTGAACGATTCAGTTAAGCAGGAATTAAACATTTTTATAGACTACATGATTTTTAGCAAGCATAAATTCATTTTTTTATTGAAAGTCAACTAGCACCAACTAACTTTTATAGCATGAAGGAGGAAAACTTATAATTGTAAACTCTCATCGTCCTATGTTTCACTCGGCCATCTGATACAAGCTTTTTCAAGGAAATATAGTCAACCATCAAAATTAACGAAAAGAGAACAGGTATATAGTTCTCCAATTACTTGTATTATAAACAGGTCATCCAATCATCTTAATAGTACCGAAAGTAAGAATTTGTTGTAGTATGTATGAGACATTTGGTATGAAAAGTATAGAAACGTGTATTAAGATAATAATTGTATGTATGTACAATCGGATCTATGCTGAAAGAAAAGATTTTATTGACTACATATGTCACCTCTGATCCGTGATTCTGATGAAATCAGATCATTTTATACATGATATGAGTCAAACATGCCATAACATGCATAAATTGAATATAAATAAACAAAATCAAAATCACTGGTTTTATTATTGTGCTGATCAAGTTGATTGTTGATTAAAGAAGTCAATTAAAAATTTATTAACAGGAAATAAAAATACAAACTATGAATGACCTAGATAAATACTTTGAATTGAATAAGTTTATTTTATCACTGCACATATCTAATATGTATGCATTTCATTTCATTGCAAAGTATTATGTATAGGATAATTCTAGGCTAATAGAGAAATGTTTACTAAAATACTAAAATAATTCATTACATAATCTTTACAGATTAAGTTGTATATAATCAATGTGAGACAAACAAATGACAAGTTTCAATAAACTGTTTTACAGTATCCATACATCTTAATTACAAAGAGATGTACTGTATAGACTTGCAGGTATCATAACCAAAGTTTGATTTGATAATTCCGAATAAATTGAGCATTGGGTAGATTTTTATAAATAAATAGTATATTTATAATATCCCAATGAGTAGAAAAATTAGATTTTCTGACGTTTCGTAACTTAGTGTAAGTCACTTCTTCAGAGAATAAATAACTTGTCTCCATTTCTTATAATAGGCCATTGTATAAGTATTTTTTGTAGTTGAAAAAAGTATTTGATACTTTTGCTTTCGACGTTTGTTTTCTGACATTTCTCAGTGATTTGTGATAAAAATCATACAAAATCAGTGTTCCAATAACCCCTTTCTATATTCTGAATGACCTTCTACAATACAAAAAAAATTAATTTTTGTGCAAAAAAATAAATCAATCACTGCACATTTTTCTTATTTACTTGACTGTTTATTGTTTTGTTTTATTTTTCTCTACTTTGACTTTACCTATAACAAATAGCATATATTGCATGTATTTTAAAAATATTTGGGTGTAACGAAAGAAACATGATGATATACTATTAATTTTAATACTAACCGCATAGATAATAAATATGAATTTATAAAATCTTATCAGTGAAATGAAAACTTAACATTTTAGTTAACGCCTATCAATGTCATTTATAATTTCAATAATCGTTTTTGTTTCATAGGAGTAACCATCATTAAAAAAATCGAGTGAATCTACTTTTTTCTTAAAATGAAGTTAATTCATTTTAACTATTTCTTGTATAGCGACAGAAAGTTTGTTCGCTTCAATGAAAGGGATCTAATTCGATTGGTGTTATTTTAAACAATAATAAATTCACTCTTAAGCAAATCATATTAGTAGAATCATGTAGTTAAAAATATTTTAAGGATTAAAATATTGTTTATTATAAAATCTACTTGGTTTTGTTTCACTTGTATCTTTTCAGTGTTATTTAGCACTGCAATTGATCAGTCTGTTATTGGCATATATGCATACTGTGCGTATGCCTCGATATTACCTTAATTCACAAGCTTTATGAGCAAAGATGGATAGTGGTGAGCAGTGGAATCCAGGACGCACGTTTCATCCAATTTGAGACTTGTCTGCTGAATGTACCTGCATCTCAGAAATGATGTCCACACTGGGACTCGAACTCAGTACCGTTCGCTTCAAATACTATTGCATTATCCATTTAGACAGTGGTAAGATACGAGCAAACGATGGCATGGGAATGTAAACTTCACTCCATTGCACAATTAATTGGTTATCAGGAGTCACTAGCTAAGTGGATAACGTGATGGCGTTTGAAGTGAGTGTTACTGGGTCCGAGTCCCAGAGTGAACATCAATTCTGAGATGCAGGAACATCCAGCAGACGAGTCCCAAATTGGATGAAACCTGCGTCCTGGATTCCACTGCTCACCACTATTCGTCTTTGCTTTAAAAAGATTGTTTATTATTATTATTAGCTTTATTCAGTGTTATATTTTCGGTACAACGTAGAATTCTCAACACAAAGTATTTCAACAAGTTTCCTTTTCTTATTTTTTTGATTGATCCTGACGATAAATATTGAGTGATCGTCAAGTCGATGTTAGCAGTTCAGTAATTAACATTTGAATGATGTATATTCTTTTCGATACATATTGCCAGTAACTATGATGTCTCTGATTGGATTCTTTTAAAACTTGTGTAGTAAAATCTCGTAAACGTTTCACAAACGCACCTGAATAGGTCATGAGACTGACAGGCATAATGTGTTAAAACAAACAAGAAAACAGATAACTTGTTAAAATATCCAGATGGCAGGAACAAGTAGCCCAGATATTCAGGCAGGCCGCCAACAGAAGCTTTGTTCACTTCACTTATAAGGATCTAATTCGATTCGTGTCATTCTAAAAGCTAATAAATTTACTCTTAAGCAAATCATGTTAGTTGAACTACTCAGGATATGTTAAATGATTCAGCCGTAACTAATTGGTATTCTAATATGGGATTGGATTTAAATAATTTTAAGCTTTTATTATTCATTGCCTAATAATATTCAGTATAAATAAAAACAAATACGAACTAGTTTGCCCTTATAAAATTCAACTGTAATGTAATCGTTTTAATTACAATTTGTTACAGCAATGTACACAATGATTAAATTTGCCTAAACACTAGAAATTGTTCACTCTTGTTCATAAACCTAATGTGGTTACTTAATATGATGATTATTCTGTGATACACATTTGGACTCTGAGCATGCTCTATAACGAGCACGCATTTGTTTATTAGACACAGAAAAGCTACAGCAAGAAATTCACTTAGCCTTTAACTTAACGAAGAAGAATTCGAGGATATTTCAAGAAAAACTATAGAAGCTACTAGTTAATCACCATAATGAGGTTCCCCTTATTTGGATTGGGAAGATGTTCAGACAGTCATGAAAACAGCAGTGATATTATAGAACGACCTTTAAAAAACGTTAGGAAAAATCAATGTATTTCAGCAGCTTGTAAAGAATTAACATATGCTCAGAAGCTTGTCCCGTCCGGCTCCAAACACAATGAAGAGTTAAAGTAACTCGAACATCCAAACGCATTCTTTCTTAATTTCTCTTAGCTCCTAAGCTGCCGAATCCATTGTAATTTTATTCACTAATCTGTATTTTCTCGAATCGTATCTCTGATACCTAATTCGGGATTTACCTTGAGGATTTTGTCACTTTACCGATGGTGTATAGCAAACTTTATGTTTCTGGTTCTATATTGTATATGACTGATTGATTGAGTCTTATCAGTAGAAAAACGATTATCATATTTGATAAGTGTAATTCAAGAGAATGCTGGTAAATAGTTTTAAAATATATTAACCTTGTGTAAACAAAGACTTGTAACAAGTATAAACTAGTAACGTTTCACAGTAATTTAATTATCTAATTTTTATAACCTGCATTTTTAAAAATTATATTAACAACCCACAGAAAGTTTTAAGTATCTATTTTGTTTCGTTGTCAGTGTATGTGATACATATTTTTAACTGTCTTAGATAAGATGTAAAAAAAATGACTAGAAGAGTTGAAATGAACTATAAAATATCTTATTTAAACCTTTTATAGAACCAATGTTTTATACTCATGCAACGAAAAATATTCCTTATGAAGAAAAACACATGACGGATATTCATTATCCAACTCAAATAAATACAAAAGATTTATATAATGTTGGCTCCTCATATCCTACAAATTTGAATGAAAGATCACCTTCTACATCAGGAAGACGTAGAATCTCACCATTTGAAAATTATTCATCTCGTCCACGTTTAACAAATACAAATAGAATGTTGCCGAAACCAGTAAGTTATATTACTTATTATCTAACAAAAATATTAATAGTTGAATAACTGAATAATATTACTTTGGTTTAAATTTTGTCTGTTAACATGGAAAGCTTAGGAAGCTTATTCTCTCTGAAGTGAATTTTTATCACGATCAGATATCATTTGAATCATTGATTGATAACTAGGTAACAGTGAAAAGCTATTTTTTTCTCTTTTTGGACTGATCAGATGTGAGCATAATTAACCCAAAACAGGAGCCATACAAATATTTTTATGTCTATCAGAAAGAACAAACGTTTTATACTGCTATGTTGGAATTCAAAAATTTACATTTTTGATCACAATGTATTTTTCAAATAACTCCAATTATTATCATCAATAGATTATCGTTTCAGTTTGAAGATTGCAGTTTCATAAAGAATCATCAGAAAATCATCAAAGAACCAGTCAGTAATAAGTACACAATTGTTGGTAAAATTTAGCATTTGCGAAAAAGTTTTTGAATTGAAAATCGATTTTACTACGAGTTCATATTGACTGCAATTAGGTAGATTGTAGGAATGTGTAATTGCTTTATGATAAAATCTATATAAATGTTATTTGAATATTTGATTTCATTCCATTTTCTTACAACCGATACAGATTATAATAATCATTTCATTTATCTTAACTATATAACAAAGTATTTTTTTAAAACTAAGGACAAATACTCTTAGAAATTCATCTATGATATCCTATATAATAAATAAATATTATGTGAAATTGATCGAAGAAAAAACTGAGATTCCTACACATATTCTTAACATTCAACATGACCGCTTCTTGAATCCACTAATCTAAGCTGTGTTGTTGTTGTGTTTTTTTCAATGATGATATTCGGGAACATGTTAGTATTTAACTATAATCACGAAATCAAACATTAACTAATAAAATCACTTCAGAAGTTTTTCTTTGATAAGTCAATTTATGATGCTGACATTAATAGGACATTAAATTCCGATCTACACATTGTATACCATTATGTTTGTTTATAATTTAAAATACATACCCAGTAATTTCCTTTCATTCAATGATAGAAATGTTATTTGAATTATCAATTACTACAAAGGGATAATCAATTAAGCAACCATAACATATAACTAAGAATCCCAGAAGAAAAAAAAGACTTTTGTCAATGTTTCTTATGTTACCATTACTCTTAAGTACATTATTACACTTTCACATAAATAATATTATGGTTGAATAATCATTTCAAAAGTGTAATAATACACCCATTGATTATATGAAAGATATTGTTGCACACTCATATATTCAATGATAGTTGAAAAAGATGGATTAACCTTTACAAAAACAACATCAAACTATCTTATTGTGATATGCTGTTCACATATACTCGATAGAGGTTATTTATTATATATATATATATATATATATATATATATATATATATATATATATATATATATATATATGCATTAACTACTTTTATGAAACCGGTATGCATCTTGTTGTGCTAATGAGGTATGGCAACTTGGACCGATGCATATATGTGCCTGGTCCTACGTTGTAGCTGACTGACTGACTGGCTATCATATTGGACAAACTCGAAATGATTTTGAAAATTTATCACGTATAAAACTTTGATAATAAACTACAGCAGACTTTGGATTGAATCAAATTTCTAGATAATCAATCATAAATAAAGTTACCACATTGAAGTCTAATGTTTTATATATTTTAAATTTAACCAATTAGTGATACTAAACAATAACCATTAAATGTTAACAAGTATCATTAAGCTTGAATTCCAACGAAATTCTGGTAAATGCTGTCAAGAAGATATATAAGCAAAGATAGATTATGGGTAGTAGTGGAATCCAGGACGTGCGTTTCATCCTATTTCAGACTTGTCATCTGAACGTACCTTAACCCAATAGTTGATGTTCACTCCAGGTCTCGCACTCTGCACCATACGCTTCAAACGACATCGCGCTATCCACTTAGCTACTTAGTCCTGATAGCCACCTGATTGTGGAATGGGGTGAAGTGTAAATTCACTTGATATTGTTTCCTTGAATCTTCCCATTGTTGTTTTAGGACTGCGATTGACCAGTCTCTTGTTAGCATATGTGCATCCTGTACGGATTGCCTCGATATTGCCTTTAGTCACAAACTTTATAAACAAAAATGGATGCTGGCTAATCAATTGCAGTCAAGAAGAATTTCGAAAACATGATTAATCTTTGTTAAGGAAAGTTCTACCATATTCTTCAGTCTTGAGAGTACATTTTCAAACTCATTTATTATATAAGTTTTGTGTCATTATTTAATTGATCAACTAATTGTTAGCTACTTCTTATCAACATCTTTATATGATTTGCATTAATATTGAACATTTAGAAATCAAAATTATAACAACAAAAAAAACTTAGTTGACCTCTTCTTTCATCATGATCTTAATCTATAGATTCACAAAATCGTTATCCTTTCTCCTGTTTCATTCTTTATTAAAATTTTCATACCCAACTGACTTAGTTCTGTTTTTATGCTCTTTTTGATTAGATTTCATTTGATCATGCTACGTAACCCATTTTTACAATTATTATCATTATTATTTATGTTCTGGCTAAATATTCAAGTTTTTTAACAACTGCATTTTCAATTTCAGATTAATCGTTTTATTATTTTCTTTTTTGTCATACATTGTTCAAGTTGTATCCATTAAATTTATATTCATTTGTATACCTACAAAGAATATGATAATCTTTTCTTAACACTGACACAATCTTAATTGCTTAAACTAATAAGGATCATTTTATCATCTGATCAATATATCTTTATTGCAAACAAAAAACCAGATGGAATAACTTTAAAAAAAGAAATGTGACTATTATTATTGTCTAAGAACTATCCCCTGACATATTTTTTTCACAGAACATCATCTTTTCTATTTTATTTTATAAATGATATCGTTAAATGTCTAACTAGGGTTTATATTAAACTTTGACTTGGTATATTGAATGTTGCCTGAATGAAAATTTATGGATTAGTTGAAGTTAGACATTAACACCGTTGGATGCCGGCCGGCTCAGTGGACTAGTGGTTAAGTGATCGCGCGCGAGACCAGTAGGTTCTTGATCCGAATCCCAAGAGGCGCAGTCGTGGTCTCACACTGTTGAGGAGTTCAACAATAGGACAACACGGCCACCCAGTGTCTCCAGGCTCTCCATGATGGTTTAGCTTCAATTGACTCATTATCTCACCTATTAAAATTGAAAATTTAAAGATTATGTGTTTATAATTCTATGGAAAATTACTGGTTCACAATCAATATCATAATAATATTGTTCTGAGTACAGTTTTTAATAAAAAGCTATTGACTTGGAGCCATGAAGTATATCTGCAATTCTCGATAACGTATATCCAGTTGTCTCAAAAAGGTATTAATTATTTAACTAAACAAAAGAACTGAACAGTTTATGAATAAATTTTACTTAATGATCAGTTAGTGCATATTTTGATAGCCAAATATTGACAGATAGTTATCAATATAAAGTATATTCTTGGACTTTATTTGATGGAAAGCAAGTACTTCTCTCGAATCACAAAAATCTAATCGATTTATTTCATCGTCTTACAGAATTAAGAGCGATGCAATGAAACTCAACTTTAGTCAAAAATCTTTATTTAATAAAATCTCAAAATTTAAGGTTAGCATTATAGAAAAAGTATATCTTAGATAGTGGCTAACGATTGGAATCAAGACTATTATTTTACATTGATATTCATCACTTTCGAGATATTTAACAAAACTAATCAATCTTTCTTAACATCAATTACCATACTGGATACAGTACTAACCATTTGAAGATCAAGAAAACGAACTTTTTTTTCTAGCAATACGTACTCATCATTATTTGTAACTAGTACTCATAAACATAGTTCATTATCAATGTGTTCTTCACTCTCTCTTTTTGTTGCTTAATATATTATTCATGAAAGAAAATGTCAAAACAATAGAATAAATCATGCATAAATAAAGCCTGAGAATTATTTATGTGATTTTATTTGTACAGTCTGACAGATACATTTACATTGACGGATTTACAGTCTAATTTGTAAGCTGTAAAATAACAGTATTTTTATTTACAATCATTCTCACTAAAAGTATACCTAAATATATACACATAAATAAACATATGTTAACATACATGAACAATATTCATAAACAGTGTAGAAATCAATGTAATTCTCAGTGGAAAAGTAACTATACATAAATCATGCATAACATCAGCAAATACCCATCGATATCACATATACATGGTATGATTTATAAATCACTTGCTAACTATTTAACTTACGTAATAGTTGATGAATACACTTTATCATGGCAATTGAGATTTCAATATACATTTATAGTATGAATAAATTTTTCATGTATAAATCAACTAATTCAAAACTAAATTTATAAATAATACCATACGTTTATGAAATATACTTCTTCATCATGTAAAATACATTATTCAATAGCAGATTTCTCATTGTTGAGATTGGGAATAATACTAATCTTATCTGAAAAGTACCAGTATTCATTTTTTAAAACAATTAATCTCTTTGATTGATTTGGATAGTACAATAGGTAAGCGAAGATTATCAGAACAGTGTGATCTATTAGAGCAATACATTTCGTATGATCTGAAAACAGACGTACTTGTTAAAAACACATATATATATGAAAAATAAATGGAAGTTAAGAAAAGACAAGTAATTAAAAAAAACGATGTAAAACTTACTACTCTGGATAATAAAATACTATAACCAGGGTGAGTTTACGGTGGTAACAAACTGTTTTCAGATAATTAAAAGGGATCTGAATTTTCATACGGCCAAGCTTAGTTTGAGCCACTGAATATTTTTGAACAAAACCATAATGAACAAATTCAGATCAATCTTATCAACAGTGTTTATCGGTAGAGAAAGATGAATGGTTATCATCTACTACTATTGTGCTATTT